TCAGCTCAAGGCTAGCGCTCTACCACTTGAGCCACGGCGCCACTTCCAGCTTTTTTCTTTTTGCTTATGTGGTGCTGAGGAATGGAACCCAGGGCCTCAGGCATGCAAGGCAAGCGCTCTACCACTGAGCCACCTTCCCAGCCCTCTTTTTGATGCTTAATTGGAGGAAAGAGTCCCACAGACTTCTCTGCCCTGGGCTCGCTTTAAACTGTAATCCTCAGATTTCTATCTCCTAAGTAGCTAGGATTACAGATGTGAGTCACTGGTGCCTGGCTTTTTTTTTTTTTTTTTTGTACCAGTCTGGGGCTTTAACTCATTGCCTCACATTCTCCCTTAGCTTTTCCATTCAAGGCTGGTGCACTACCACCTGAGCCACAGTTTCCCTTAAAGCTTTTGGCTGCTTAATTGGAGATAAGAGAGAATCTCAGGAACTTTTTTTTTGGGGGGGGTCCGGTCGTGGTGCCTGAACTCTGGGCCTGAACTCTGGGTGCTGTCCTTCAGCTCTTCAGCTCAAGGCTAGTGCTCTACCACTTGAGCCATGGTGTCACTTCCGGCTTTTTTCTTTTTTCTTATGTGGTGCTGAGGAATTGAACCCAGGGCCTCATGCATGCAAAGCAAGTGATCTACCAGTGATCCACTTTCCCAGCCCCCTCAGGAACTTTTATTGTTTGAGCTAGCTTTGAATTGAAATCCTCAGGTAGCTAGAATTACAGGTGTGAGCCATCAGCCCCAATCTGTGTTTTCTCTCTAGAACACAATTTCTGAACTACACCAGTTTTTGTAAATTGTGTGTGTGTGTGTGTGTATGTGTATGTGTAATTGCGTGTGTATTTGTGTTGGTACTGGGGCTTGAACTCAGGGCCTGGGTGGTGTTTCTGAGCTGTTTTGCTCAAGGATAGCTAGTGCTCTACCACTTGAGTCTCAGTTTCACTTCCAATTGTGGTTAATTGGAGATAAGAGTCTCATGGACTTTCCTGCCTGAGCTGGCTTTGATCTGGGATCCTCAGGTCTCAGCCTTCTGCGTAGTGAGGATTACAAGCATGAGACTCTGGTGCCTGGTTTAGATTTCGGTTTTTATAGTAATTTTCTTTATTGTTGTAACAATGGTCTACTTGAAAAATTTAAGTCTAAGAAATTACTTTTAAAGAGTCATCAATTTTTTTGAAAAAATGAAAATCAACAATATTTGAGAAAAATCCATTAGAAAAAATACAATAAAATAAATATGACATACTACATAATAAGTTTCATAAACTATTATGAATAGGCTAATTAAAAAGGAATAAAAATGAGGAATCATCTGCTTAACGGAATTTTTAAAAAGTGTTCTTAGATATGTCTGTGTGTCTATTTGTATATATAGAAGTTGATTTTAACTATGGGACTGTTTGAGGGGGTAACGTGAGGGAGAAAGAGAATGATTGTCTAATATAAAAATACATTGTGTCTGAAGATGGCATGAGAAACATCACTGAAAGCTATAAAACGTGAGAGTGGATAGAGAGGCTAGGGAAAGAGCAATGGAGAGGATTATTCCGACTTAAATGCAATATATGTACATGCAAAGTAGCAGTTGGACCTCTTGGTACAGTTAATATATACTAAAAAAAAAATGACCAGAGAGTAAAACAGGCTTTGCTGTGGAGTGCGTATCAAGTGGGAAGGGGAGAGTGAATAGTAGGGTAAATGTAAATGAGGGTAAATGTAGTCAGAAGAAACCTGTTCTCAACTTTAGCTCACAAACTACTATTATGACTTAAATTTTGAGTAATAACATATACTCTAGCAAAATAAAGAATATTTTGCAGTAACAAATATTTTGCATAAAAAATACTGATGAACCCATTGTCTGTAGAGTAACCATATTTTCTTGTCTACCTTCCTTTTAGCCAAAGGTTTACATTTTCATTTTAGTAGTAAGCTTCTCCTACATTATGATGTGCTAGCACATTGAAACAAGCTCTGACAATGCACTTTTGTGTGTGTATCAGTACTGAGGTTTGAACTCAGGACCTCCTGCTTAGTCTTTTTGCTCAATGCTGGCATTCTGTCACTTGAGCCACCCCAGGTCCTTCACTTCTGGCTTTTTGCTGGTTAATTGGAAAGTCTAGGATTTGTCTTCCCAAGCTGGTTTTGAAGCTAAGTCCTCAGATATCAGCCTCCTGAGTAGCTAGGATTACAGGCATGAGCCACTGGTTCCCAACATGAGATGCAGTTTTTTTTTTTGTTTTTGTTTTTAGTTTGTAGAAATACTTTTCTTAATTGGGCGCCAGTGTCTCACACCTAGCTACTCAGAAAGGTTGATATCTGAGGTCAGGGTTCAAAGCCAGCCCCGGCAGGAAAGTCCTTGCAATTTATCTCCAATAAACCCCCAGAAAACTGGAACTGGCCCTGTAGCTCAGGTGGTAGAGCACTAGCCTTGAGCTGAAGAACTCGGAGACAGTGCTTAGTCCCAGAGTTCAAGCCCCATGACCAACAAAAAACAAAAACCAACAAAAACCCAAACCCTTTTCTTACTCACAACAATCTTTAAAAGATTTTTAAGAGTTAATTTTATATATTTTTCTTCTGTTTTTCCTTAGGTAATATGTATTAAATACTTAATAGACTAACTTCTGTGGGAAACACGAAGAAATTTTACTACACCCTCTTATAAGTTGCTTGTAATGTTGGTTAGAATGTAATATATACATAATATACATAATACAATATATATTCATATAAAATATTAGTATAAAAATAACAAAACGTACATATAAAAGATTCTTCAAGTTGTTAATTATTAAGTGAGTGATTAAAATAGGTAATAAGATGGAAATAAAGAGCAGGATCTTGTTGGGACCTGAAAAGATGAGGAGAAGAGAAGTTGGGACTGGCTAGATCTGTGTATTCAAAGGCAAGGAGAATTTTTCAGAAAGGCACAAATACTAACCTTAGAACTCTGAAATTTCCAGGTCACATACTTGTTATGTGCTTGTACATTTTATGTAAGTTATCTAGAACAGTACTTTTGAATAAAGCTCTTATCTGTTTGCTGAAGACAGAATATTGTTCAACATTAGATATCATATTTGCAAAAATACCCTTCATAAAAATGCTTTTTTGTAGTATGTCGGATGAAGAACAAGAAAGTGGTTGTGATACTGTGGATGGCTCTCCAACCTCAGACTCCTCCGGGCACGACAGTCCATTTGCAGAGAGTAGTTTTGTGGAGGACACCCATCAAAACACAGAACTGGTTAATAATACCTCTGCTGACACAGAAACCAAGCCGGCTGTTTGTACTGTTGTGGTACCACCAATGGGAATAGACAGTGGATTAAATGCAGAAGAGCATATGGCAAATCCAGGTAAATCTGTCATATGAAAAACATCTTCTGATATCATTCAATGCTTTTAAGTCACATAGTTTTTAATTAAAACTTAAGGTCCTCAGATCACTTATATAAAATATCTAAAGGCTTTTGCAATTTTCAGTAGAGAAGAAATAAGCACCCACTCTAATACTTTGTTTCATTATTGACAGAGTCTACATGCCAGCCATTACTAAAAGGACGATCTGCCCCGGGAAGATTAAATCAGCCTCCTGCAGTGGGAAATCGTCAGCAAAAATTGACATCAGCATTCCAGCAGCAGCATTTGAACTTCAGTCAGGTGTGTTGGTTTTTGACTCTTACCAGTCTTTGGGAGTCATGTATACCAGTTGTTTCTTCACTAAGAGGAGAAAAGATTACTATAGGTAGTCTTAATAATATTTTCCTTTATCCAAGTGATTAATGAGATCCTTACCTAATAGGATAATTAGCAAAGTTTCCACAGAACTTATATTCATAAATTCTTAGGTTCTCTAATTCTCTTAGAGAATTGTAACCATATACTAATGGATTGGTGTCTTGCTTCCTTGTTTAGGTCAGGAAGCTTGGAACTTGCTATGTAGCCCAGGCTGGTCTTAAACTTGATCCTCCTGCCTCAGCTTCCCAAATGCTAGAATTACAGGCATGCACAGCAGCATACCTTGCATGGTGGCTATACTTCTTATGTGTTAGTAGGGGGAATCATTTGATATGTGTTAGCAGGATGATCATCCACTGTTGAATGCTGTGCTTGCTCAACAAATGTATTTCACTTGAGGAAAGAAAAGGTATAACAGTTAGCACTGTTAGAGCTGGCTTCAAAATCTTTACTTTGCCAATACTATATGTACTACTATAGCCAAATCTCTTCAACATATCTGGAATTAATGGAAATCATGGTTATATCATGAGATTGTTTAATAAAGTTACATAATAGTTTATCATAGGAACTTAATAACATTCAAAATATAAACTGTTAGCTTTACATAAATAAATGCTATATAAATGGTAGCTGTTAGCAGTGAAACAGACAAGAATGGTACGAGCAGTAGTAGTGGCAGTGTTAACATTGTAGTAACATGTTGTAATAACTTATTAAATTGTCATATCCACTGTGAGTAAGTCTTTTATAACCTTTATAAAGTTTCCTTTTATCTTATAAAATGTTATTCAGTCAGCTTTTTCTTTGTGATTAGGTTCAGCACTTTGGATCTGGGCATCAAGAATGGAATGGAAACTTTGGACATCGAAGACAGCAAGCTTATATCCCTACTAGTGTTACCAGTAATCCATTCACTCTTTCTCATGGAAGTCCTAACCACACAGCAGTACATGCCCATCTGGCTGGAAGTACACACCTTGGAGGACAGCCCACTCTACTTCCATACCCATCATCAGCTACCCTCAGTAGTGCTGCACCAGTGGCTCACCTTTTAGCCTCTCCATGTACCTCAAGACCTATGTTACAGCATCCAACTTACAATATCTCCCATCCCAGTGGCATAGTTCACCAAGTCCCTGTGGGCATAAATCCCCGTCTGTTACCATCCCCAACCATTCATCAGACTCAATATAAACCAATCTTCCCACCACATTCTTACATCGCAGCATCACCTGCGTATGCTGGATTTCCACTGAGTCCAACAAAGCTCAGCCAGTATCCATATATGTGAAAAGTCGAAACAGTATATATTGAGGAAGCTCAATGATACAAACATTTGATTAAAAAAATAAAAACATGGTATTTAATAAATATTAGCCATGGCACAAGAAAATTATTTTTGAATCATGTAGACTTGGGTGCAATTTAAACAACTTTGAGCTTTAAAAAAAAATCTCACTTTTAATGTGTTTTGCACATTTGGTATAACTTGTCTTTGGTCATGTTATCTTCTTATGTAGTAACTCTAGACAGGTGACTTATGGGAGCAGAAGTCCAGTTTTGCTCCTGCTATTTTTTATAAAATTGCCTTCTAACTAGTGCAAGACACGTCCACATTTGGGAAGCCATTCTGTGTACAGACTTAGAGCAACTGATGCACATATGTCAGAATTACAGCATACAAGTGAATTGTATTATCTGTGTCTTAGTGTATAAATGTTGGGTCACTTAACCTAAGAAATTGAGCTATTGTTCTTTACATTTGCATGTGTCTTTTGCATGGGCAAAATGTTGCCTAGACTTTGCTCTTAATGTTGTTCTAATAATCTCAGCTGCATTGTAAACCGTTTCCACACATAGTGCCTTAAATATTTGAGGTTGTTAATGTTATTACCTATCTATAAATGTTGAGGACTGCAGCACTTAAAATCCAGACCTACTCTTTAGTTTTCTTTTGATAGAGTAATGTTCACTTTTGGTTTTGTGTGGTATGATTTCAGGTGGTAGCTGTTTTTTCCTTATTAAGGGGGCAGCATGTTTGCTATAGAAGAAATCTGCTGTCTGATTTTTTCAGAATGATCTAGCTTCAAGAAAAGCAAGCAGTTAGTAGTGCTTAAGAGAAATTGATTCAGTATCTAATGGATAGTTGGTAACTGTCACAGCACAGCATTTTATATACTGTTAAATGAAACAGCAATACAATCTAAGTTTATTTTGGGCGTGTTTGCTGTACAATTGGACTTGATGAAATGTTTAGAGGTGAAGTAGGCATGACTTTGAATAGATAATGAGAGACAATGCGAAATGCTCATTGATTCATGATGTGGTTTCATCTTAGCTTGGGCAAACCATGCAGTATTTAATAAATAGTAGCAGAATATTTACTATTGAAGCTTGAAAAGATGTGAGTTCTTTGTGTGCAATTTTTCATTTATGCATGTGAGAGGGTTTCGTTTTTTGGTTATTTTTTAAAAGTATTTTTACATTATAGTACTTGTTTTGCTTGTTGGTGGTGTTTGCTTATTTAATACATTCCGTCAGGGACAGAAATTACATGCTTTTTTTCCTAGGAAGTGTGTCTTGGGTTTTTCCCTTCCTTCCCCCACCTTGGTGGTGATGGTGGTGATGTTTAAATGAAGTTGCTTTTACAGCACCAAAGACTTAATCATCCATTTCTTATATAAAAGGTAGCTAACTTTTTTGCATAGACCTCAAGTATATTGTAGTGTAGAGGTGGGATTTAAGGAAAGGTATTAAACTGAGGCTTTGTTTTAGCTTACAGGCAAGTAATAAATTGTATCATTTATCTTGAATGTATCATAGATAAGCTGCTATATAACGATTGCCACTTCAGATAGCTGTGAAATTAGATGATTAACTAGTTGTTACTTAGCCTTCTAATTTCTGTATAAATCTAACTACATGAAATAGAAGTTGGGGTTTTGATTTTTTACTTTGCTTTTCTGTTTGGAGTGTCATTGTAACTACTGTATTGTAAATGATGGAAAATAATTGCATATGTTATTTTGGGGTGTGTTTTTGCATCAGTATTTTATCTCTTAATGTTTGTGCTCATCACTGCATATAAAATCTTGGATGTATCAGTGTAACTTAATTTTTTATTTTCATACTGGCATTGTAGACACTTGAGAAAGCTGTATCTTGCAGGCTTGACTTAACTTTTTTTTCCTTAAAAATCTGGAATATAATCTTACAGCATTTACTGGAATAAACAGTACAAAGCATTTGGGTGTAAAACTCCCCAAATGTTTTGGATTTACAGCATTTCTTTAGTAAATGAATTGTATACCACTAATACAGCATTGACGATAAGCTAATAATGGATAAACTTTTCTTTACTCCATTAACACAAAGCAGTGTTTTATTTAATAATCATCGATGGAATAAATGTGCCTGAAATTGATTTTAAAAATCACAGTATTAGATCATAAAATAAAAACCAGCAGTACATTTTTAGTCACACTGAAAATGAAGGACTTAATTTTCCCCATGTTTCAGTGTTTTTAGTAATCAATTCTATGCATTTTATATAAACAGAAAACATATAACACATAAAAGAGTAGGCTAAGATTAATTTAAAAGATGATTTACACATGACACATTTATGGAATCACTATTTGAGTAACTTTGCGGCCCTCCACAGCCTTCTAATTTTATTTATATGGTCTAGCAGATTACTGGTATCTTCTTGGAAAAGAATCAATGCTGCCAATGGATGTTTCAGAAATACTAAGTGAAAAAGATCGATCAGCTCACAACAGGTACAAAGCTGGCGCCATGTGCTTTTTGTTCAGGGCTGTTTGCTACCTTGAAATGAGGTATTTTCTGCATTTCAGTTCCAAGACTGAGGTAGTCTTGTTAAAGTGACCATAAATGGTAAAGGTTAACATTCTCATACTACAACTGTAATGCTTGTTAAAGGCATACGCTACTCTTAATTAATTGCAATCATGGACTTTATTTTTAATGTGCTTAAACATTTCAAACTTCAAAATCTTGCTGAAGACTAAATTTCACACTGACAAACACATCTGGATCTATGCCATCTTTAGACCATTTTAATCCATTATCTTTGGTTTTAATGCTTTCTTAAATAAAACACTGCATGAATTTTAAGCTGCATATTTGCATACTATTTTAATTTGCAAATGATTTTATCAATTCTGATTTTTAGATTATTTTCCTTCAGGGTATTTAATTAAATATGCTTCTATATAAGCAAAACCTTTTTGTTTTAACAATCTTTACTGCTAAGTTTAAACTTGGTTTGTGTTAAGTACAAGTTAAATCATACACTGCAAGGTGTAGAAAGATTTTGTTTTAATGAACCCAGTAATATAGATTTGATTACTAAGTTTGAACTGTTAGCTGTTCAACAATTTTAGACTTGTGGCTTTCTTTGATTTGTTTGTTTTTGCTCTTACTTTTATGCTACACTAGTTTGCCATGTAGCAATTGCACTGTGCAATATTACAATAAGGACTGGGAAAATTTTTATGGATGTAATGTCTATTACAGTTTGCGATAGTATTTCTCTCTAGTTCTCAGTGATTTAAATGTGACCAAGCCTTCTGTACTTTGTCACAAAAAGCGGGTTTTCCAGGTGACTATTTTGGTGAGTGTCAAAATAAGAATTTATGGTGTATTACTGTTGATTCACTTTGAATTAAAATATATATATTGCAGCAAACAGCTTGTTGACTTTTACTTTTCATTCCAGTACTCTTATTTAACTCTCAGAGCCACCTTGTGAGAGAGTGGCATTAGTTTGTTCTATGAATAAGGGCATCAGCACAAAACATGTGGGTAACTTGCCCAAAGTCTCTAGAGAATATTAATCTGAAATGTGAACCAGTTTATTGAACCCTAACTCATATCCTTTCTACCCATTCTTTTTACACTGGAGTCTTCCATAGAGTGCCAGAAATACCTGCAAAGAAAGGATGACCGCTGTTCCTTTTCCTTCAATGTTAGGTTTTCTCAAATATTTTCAAGGGAACTATTTTTGTTTAATAAGCATAGATACAGAGAAAATTCATATGAATTTTAAAAATATGAAACATTCAAAAAATGTAGTTGTAGTGGGCCCAATTTCAGTTTTATTTTTAATTGTGAAAATACAGAGGGGTTACAATTACATGGGCAAGATACTGAGTACATTTCTTATCAAGCATTGTAGCCTCCTCCTTTGTTTCCCCTTCCCATCCCATCTTCCCCCGGCCACCCCACCCAACCCTCCTCACCCCCCCTCCCACCAAAGTTGTAAAGTTTGTTTTCAACATACGACTTGTACGTCTCATTGTTGCAATGGGTCCACCTGTATCCCTATTTAAATGATTTGTTTTTTCCCTTCCCCTCCACAAATTATATACTGTGGGGGAGGGACATACAAAGCAACAAAGAAATAATCTTATAAATGTGTTAGAAACAGTCGCATGAAAGAAAAAAGCATTTTATGTTTTTGAATAGACCTCATACTTTAAGAAACTATCAGTGGGGGCTGGGAAGGTGGCTCAGTGGTAGAGTGCTTGCCTTGCATGCCTGAGGCCCTGGGTTCGATTCCTCAGCACCACATAAGAAAAAAGCTGGAAGTGGCACTGTAGCTCAAGTGGTAGAGTGCTAGCCTTGAGCTGAAGAGCTCAGGGACAGCGCCCAGGCCCAGAGTTCAGGTCCCATGACCAGACCAAAAAAAAAAGAAAAAAAAAAAAAAGAAACTATCAGTGGGAAAGTTTGAGGGGGGAACATTCTGCCAGAACATGATTAGAGGGTTGCTGTTTTGATGCTGAGCATCAAATCCTGGGCTTCATACATGCCATAAGCCAGCACATACCAGTGACAATATTTAATCTCCCCCCCCCACTCCCATCTCCTTTCCCATAATTGAAGTGTAAAAGATGAAGTCTTTAGTGTTTGACTTCCTTAATTCAATATTTTCTTTGTGAGATTCTTCTATCTTGTGTACAGTTACATTTAACTCACAACTGTATAGTATTTTGTCCATACAATTTTTGTTTTATGATCAGTTAAATATTTTCTATTTTTTTAGGTATTATGAGTTGTGCTGTTATGAATATTCTTGTCCATTATCTCCCCCCCACCCCCCCGGTTGGTCATGGCTTGAACTCTGGGACTGGGTGCTGTCCCTCAGCTCTTCAGCTCAAGGCTAGCGCTCTTACCATTTGAGCCACAGCACCACTTGCAGCTTTTTCTATTTATGTGGTGCTGAGGAATCAAACCCAGGGCCTCATTCATGTGAAGCAAGGACTCTACCACTGAGCCACCTTCCCAGCCCGGTCCATTATCTTTTGATGAACATAGGAATGCATTTCCTTATGTTATAAGGTGAGTATGGAGTTACTAGTGACCACAAGGTTTCACTTCATTCAGTACTATTGAACAGTGTTCCAAAATACAGGTGTTAATTTGCACCTAACAATGTATGAGAGTTCTGGATGCCATATTCTCACAAAAATGTTTTTTGCTTTGTTTCGGTTTGTCTTTTTGTCTTTTGCTTCAGTCATTGTTGTGAGGATGAGTTCATAAATCATAAAACAAGCACATGTGCCTGAACTAGAGCTTGACCTTGGAGTCTTGTGCCCTTAGTTTTTATTTTTCCTCAAGGCTGATCTGAGCCACACCGCTGCTTCTGGAAATCATTTTTCCTTACCTATAAATATGACCTACATTTTTCAATTTACTTGAAAATAAATTGTAATATTGTAAATATACTCAGCTATTTAAATGGATCTGCAAATATATTATTTTAGGGTGAGACTAATCGGATGGAAATGGATTTGAGCAACACATGTAAAGTGGCCAGCAAGTACCCAGAATGCACCTGGCACATTGCAGGTATGTCAGGAGTCATTCAAAATACTTAGGAAGCATTACATCCCTAGCACTAGCTAGGCATGTATCACGGAACAAAACACATGCTTTTATTCTTGGGGATATTTTCCTGTGGTGCAGTAAAAGATTAAAAAGTAAACTTGTAGGGTGAGTAAAGCAAATAGAGTGGTAAAGGAGCTGGAGGGAACATGTCAGAATACCTCACTCAGTGAAGTGACGTTTGGGCTCTGTCAGGTGAGTACCAGTCATGTAGGGGAAGAAGCAGCAAGGACAAAAGTCTTAGAACAGGAATGAGGTGGAGTTTTTCAGGATTTGCTGTTTGTTTTTATCTTTATTTTTTTGGCAGTCGTGGGGCTTGAATTCAGCCTGGATGCCGTCCCTCAGCTCTTCAGCGCAAGGTTAGCACTCTACCGCTTGAGCCACAGCACCACTTCCAGTTTTCTGGTGGTTAACTGGAGATAAGCGCCTCACAGCCTTTCCTGCCTGGGCTGGCTTTGAACCTTTATCCTCAGATCTCAGCCTCCTGAGTGGCTATAGGTGTGAGCCACTAGCACCCTGCTGTTGTTTATTTTTTAGACAAGGCCCAGGCTGGGTTGGTACTCACATAATCCTGCCTCTGCCTTCTGAGTACTAGGATAAACAGCATACTTCGCTATGAATTTTGTTTTATTCTAAAAGTTAAAACTATTAATCACCTTCGAGACTCCTGAGTTCTCTTGGCATCACCCCATTAGTGAGAATGTTTCCTTGCTGTCTGTTCCTGGGACAGGATCATGTCACGTTCCTGCCCTAGCCCTGGAGTCATCATCCATTTCCCCCAAACAGCCTAGATTTCAGAGGATCCAGTGTGAATTAGTTACAAAGGTGATTTCCCTTTTCTTGGTGTCCTGTGTCCCTTTCTATGGTGTCCTGTGTGTTGCTGACCAAGATTAGATTGTACTTTTGTTTTTAAGTGATAACTGCTTCCGTAGATATTGCTTCCCCAGCAATTTTGTGCACTCTGGTGAATATCACTAGCTTTGATCCACATGCACCCCCCCCCACCTTTGCCTGAGATGATTCCCAAACTGCAATGAGGAGAGAAAAGGGTGGTTGTTGTCTCCACGCACAGTGGAAGTAACCACCTGATAAATGCAGGAATTTTTGTTTTGTGCTGCTACTAGGGTTTGAACTACTACTTGCACCATGCTTCCACTTCCAGCTTTTTGCTGATTAATTGGAAATAGGAGTCTCATGGACTTTTCTTCCTGGGTTGGCTTTAAACTTCATCTTCCCACTTTCTGATCTTTGCCTCCTGAGGTAGCTAGGATTACAATGTGAGCCACTCGTACCCAGTGTGCAGTAAGTGTTGTGGTGTTTGTTGTTTTGTTTGTTTTTGTTTTGGGTCACATTTTGAACTCAGGGCCTCCTGCTTGCTAGACAGGTGATTCATGACTTTGAATCATCTCTCTTCCACTAAATGAAGTGCTTAGCACCTTTCCCCTAAGGGTTAGTATTTGTCCCCAGTAATTGCTGAATACATGTGGGCCCTAAACATTGAGGACATTGTTTTGTAAATAGGTGGATGCCGTGTTCATGACCATGATGAACTTGGACCAGGTGACGAGGTAAGTGCTGAGACAGCATCACACGCCCCTTCTCCCCGCTGTCACCCATCCTCCTGTTTCCAGTTATCTGGCTGCTGTTCCTACAAGCTGGAAACTGAATTGTATCATTTTTATTTTGCAGATTTTTAGACATTAGCTATGGTCTTGGTCACTGTACACACTAAAGCATCAGTTAAACACACACGTGTGTGCGCGCGCGCACACACACACGTCAGTTGTGGAGCCTGAACTCTGGTCCTGGGCGCTCTTCAGCTCAAGGCTAGCACCCTACCACTTGAGCCACAGTGCCACTTCGGCTTTTACTGCTTATGTGGTGCTGAGGAATCGAACCCAGGGCCTCATGCATGCGAGGCAAGCATTCTACCACTGAGCCACCTTTCCAGCCTCAAGAGATACAGTTTTAACAACCATCTGTTAAATGGCTTTTAGGAGGCCAGGACCTTGAGCCTCCTAGGCAAGTACTCTTCCACTTTCATCTTGTGCCCGATCTTTTTGTTAATTTTTTGTTTTGTTTGTTTTAGGGATAGTTTCACTAATTCTGTCCAGGCTGACTTCAAACTTGTAATCATCCTTCCTCTGCCTCCCAAGTAGCTGGGATTACCAGAATGAATCAACATGCCTGACTTTAAAATTTAAGTTCAGTATACAACAGACAAGTTGTCTGCAGGTCTAAGTTGATCTGTGTGTCTGGTTTGCTAAATACTGAGTTTCCATTTTGACAGTTGGTAATTCCTTCAGTACCGTTATGTTGTGTTCTGACCAGCAGAGGGAGACAGGACTCTAGTAATTTTTCAACTGATTTTTTTATTGAAATTTATAAAGCAGTAGTGGCACTGTGGCTCAAGTGGTAGAGCGCTTACCTTGAGCTAAAGAGTTGAGGGACAGCGCCCAAGCCCAGAGTTCAAGCCCCATGACCGACCAAAAAAAATTTTTTTAAGTTTGTTCATAGAAATTTATAAAGCACAACTAGATAGGAGGTATAAGTAGGAGGATTGTGGTACCAGGACAAAAAGATGAAACCCTATCTCAAAGTAAGTGAAAAGCCAAAAGGTATAAATCTAGCTATTCAGGAGGCTGAGGTCTAAGGATTATAGTTCAAAGCCAGCCTAGGCAGAAAAGTCTGTGAGACTCATCTATTAACCAGCAAAAAGCTAAAAGTTGCCTTAAGTGAAAAAGCCAAGAGAGTGCATAAAGTCCTGAGTTCGAGCCTCAATACTAGAACAAAAAACAAAAA